TCAGCTCCTGAAACCCCTGCTCGCGCCTCCAGCTGGCGAGCCCGCCACACTCGTAAAGCCGATGAGAGATCGTGCCACGGCCGCCGCGGCACCAGCTACAATCCCTGTCTATCGTGAAACGTTCCTGGAAGAGTTTCTCCTGAGTCCAGAGGCCCCCAGACATGTGCATGCTGACCAGGTCCGCCTGAATAAACTCCCCTTGCCCACGAAGTTGTCTGAGTTCGGCTTTTACAGGATCCAGGAAAGCGAAACCTTGCCATCCATGGTGTGCTGCTGCTGCTAACTCCTGCTGCCTCCTCACTCCTCTGTGCATGACCTTCTTCAAATCTGGCATACAGACTTCTCTGAGATCTACTGGGAGCCCCCGAGGATCTTGCCACTGCGAAAAAGAACTGGCCTTCCAGCCCAGTCTGCGAAGCGTCTGCACAACCGCTCCTGCTGGGCCTATGACGGCCGACCAACCCTTTGTCTCTCTCTCCAGAGCCGCCGTGAAGATACGAGACATGAGATTCTCTGGGACCCACTGCTGATGCAAAGCCTGCCACCATGTGACTAAGGGTAATGTGTTGACAATATATGATGGATCTAGATCCGCTGGATCTGCCAGAAGGAATTGCACCGCTCGGGATCGACCTTTCGCCTTCCCGAACAACGCGAAACCAGAGACTGCCCTGAGATCTTTCAAATCCTTATCAGTCATCCCCATCACCCGCACCCCGTAAGTAGCTGCTGTGATCCCTCCCGTCCTGTAAACCTTCGCTAAACCTTTGCTATGATGTCGTAAAGCTCTAAACCGATGCGCTCGTCGTCGTAGCTTGCTGACCCTGCCCTGAATGATCTTCTTGCCTTTGCGAAGCTGCAGACTGAAATCATGGCCGAGATTCTTGACACTGGCACAAACTGCGAACCGAAAAGCACGTAAATCACGGCCTAACTTTTCTGCCACGGCAGGGCACGAGGACATCACCTGGCACTTCTTCTTAGAAACGACTAGCTCGAGCTTCTCTAGCTGCCTGCAAAGATCTGGAATCGCCTTCGCTAGCAGAGCTCTTACTCGCTGGGCTGATCCAATCGCTGCTAAGGTGATGTCGTCTACCATGACATACAAAGTGAGGGACGGCCAGCGCACCTGCATGTACTCTAGCGCGTCATGCACTACTACCCTGAGCATGGTTGTGGCAAACGAGCAACCTGCGATAATTGACCGTGTCAGGATGATGATGGCGGATATCACCTCCCGAACCTTGAGCCTCCTGGGGCCTCCATATACCCTGATGAGCAGACGGGCCCTTCTCAAGTTGAAACCGTGCTTCTTACACGCTTGCCACAAAACATCGTGAGGGATCTTCTCATAACACTTCTCAAGATCGACCAAGCCTGAAGCCGAGCACGCGCCGGCCGACGTAGCAGCCTCTGAACCAGCCGCCTGTTGCCACACAGCGCGCTCGCAACTCTTGCCCTTGGCCCCATAAACACATGCAAGGTCGTGCTCCCTCTCCCACTGCTGTGCTTCACCCCTCCGTATCCTCCCCAATATACGAATGCATGTTGCGAGCACTCCTATTGGCCTGAAACCGCCATCTGGCTTCTTGAGGAACGCGATCAGGGCGAGGTCGCACTGATCTGGAATCAAAAACTCTGATTCTATCACCGACAAGAAAAGGCCAAAAACCCTCAAGGCATCGTCGCTGAGAAACTGCAGGACCTTCGGGCTCCACCCGTCGATGCCTATGGCCGTGCCTTTCTTGAACTTCTTCAAGACTGCCCTGATTTGTTCTGCTGTTGGGGCTGGTGGAGGGGCCTCAAGAGGAACCTGAAGGTCTCGACTGCCAAGCCTCTGGGGTTCTCCAGCATGCCAGATCTCCTTCCACTCCGAGACGAGCTGCTTGACCGTGTCGACGGGCCCAGCTGGGCCCTCGGTGGGCCCCTTGGGGTCGGGGGCCCAACCTTGAGGCTCCTTGGTCCACTTGTAGAGCCCCCCTCCTCCTGAGTCCAGGGATTGGTTAACCCAAGTCCTCCACTCCTTCGTCCTGCTCTTCTTAAACTCTGCCTCCTCCAAGTCCGCGATGGCCCGAACGGCCTGCAGGGCGGACTGGACGTCCTCGATGACGCTGTGCCGACCTAGCGTGAGCCTGTCGTGAAACTCGCGCCAGCCTGCATGGCCCTTCAAATTGGGGTGCCTCCAGAGGATCCTATCCAGAAGTTCCCGAACTCCTCGGTCGTTCCAATAGTGGTTCTTGCCCAGAAGAAACCCCAGTTCTTCCAACCAAACCTGATACTTCCGAATCGCCCTGGCAGCTTTCGAACACTTTGGAAACGGCCCCTTGATGTGTTCCAGAATCGGTTTCTCGACGATCTTATAACCAGTACCCCTCCCAAGATACTAAGCCCGTTCGTTTTGTGGAATACACATCACGTCGCAAAGCTCGGCCTCCATGCGGGTGCACAAGAGGCCGTACAAGTCTGTGAAACTCTTCGCCGACATCTCGCCAGCGAACCCCTCGAATAAACTCGAAAGAAACTGCCAATCCTGCGGCGGTGGGACTGGTCCTATGGGCCTCTCGACTGGGAAGGGCATCGGCATCTTCTTTCTCTTCCTCCTCCTCCTCCTCCTCTTCCTCCTCCTCCTCCTCCTCCTCCTCCTCCTCCTCCTCCTCCTCCTACTACCCCTCCTCCTCTTCCTCCCCCCTCTCCTCCTCCTCCTCCTCATCCTCCCTTTCCTCCTCCTGCTCCTCCTCATCCTCCTCCCTCATCGTGAGCAGCATCCCCATGACCATAGTATTCAACATTGTCCTTCTTTCCATTCGCATTATTATTATCCTTAATTGCTTCATCCACCTCTTTCTCAATGCCCCTCATTCGTCCTCATCCTTCTCCTACTCGTCTGCATTTGTTTCGAGGGAGAAGAAGGAAAAGACAACATCACGACAACGCACCGCACATGACGGAGTGGAGCGTGGCTGAGCCTCGGGTACACAAGAAAGTTCCGTGAAACACATAGTAAACGTGAGAAACTGCAATGTGCAGTCTTTGTGGCTCAAGACGGTCAGGAATTACACGCCTCGTTTTGTGCAGAAATTTGTATGATTTCACGAGTGCGAAGCACTGCGCGAGCTGCGCGCCCAGCACACTTTGACATACGCTACCTGCAGAGGCGGAGGCAGGAGGAGGGGGAGGACAAGCGGAAGGAGGAGAAGACGGGAGGAGCAGGACACCTTAGCACCCGAATGGAGGTGCAGAAGCATGGCCCCGAAGTTTGGCCATGGCCCCCGGCTCAGCCGAGCAGGAAAGAAGGCTTCAAAATTGTACCGATGAGTTCTGGACATCTATCACGCACACACACATTACCAGCCTGGGACACATCCCAATCCCTATGTTGGGCATCGCCTTATCACGATGGCGACCTTAGGGATTCCCTCAGTTTCTGAGGGTGCATCCCTAAGATTGTCATCGCCTTTTGGCTGGTGAACACACACACACACATAATGTGCGCCGCACCCGCCCTCGGCTGGCAAGCAGACCTGGCGAGAGAAACCCAGACCCCGGCTTCGCACGCGGGGCGCCAGGGGAAGGCGGGGCACGGAAAACAGTCGCAACGACCACCGTGAATGGCCACGCGCGGCCAGAAAGCGCCGCGCCGACGGCGGGCACGGCGCGAGGCCGAAGAGAGCCAGCGCCGCGGCCGTCGGCAACACGGCGGAGGGAGAAGGGACGAGGAGGAGAGGGCACGACGACGCCACAGGCCGGCGCCGGGCAGAGCGCGGCAGAGCCTCCGGAGCAGAGTGGTCGCCATCCCGCAGCAGAGCGGGGAGAGCGGAGGCGACGGCGCCCGCGCGCAGAGGCCCTCAGCGAGCGCCGCCGCGCGCCCTGCACACTGCACGCACTGGCAGCGCCCGCAAGAGCGCGGCCTGTTCCTCGCTGTCGTCATCTTGTCGGAGGCGTCGGGGATCGGTCGAGATTCAGGAAGCAGGCCAGCCGGTCCTCGGGAGCCGGGCGCGCCAGAAGAGCGCGGCGGGAGCAAAAGGAATGGCACGACTCACAAAAAACGGAATGCTCGATCGAATCCTCCCCGCGATTGCATCCGAGGAGGCAACCCGCTCTGCCCTGAAAGCGCCGCGCTGTGCACCACCTGTTAAGCGCTGCGCGGGCGAAAGCAGCGCACACTCGCGGGGGCGCTCGAGCCGACCACAGCCGGCCGACCGCGAGCAGCAGGTCAGGACGAAAGCGTGGAGAAAGCTCAATTGACCATCTGCCGAACTTGGCCCGGGCATGCGCTAGGGCAGGGCTGCTGAAAGGCCTCAGAATAGTGACAGCCTGGCGCTGCCGCGACTTCCGCTCCGCGTCGTCCATCGGGTCGGCACGGTGCCCCGAGCCCGCGCTGCCGTCGTAACGGCTCCCGCGGCCTCCCGGAGCCGCAGAAGAGAACACGATCCAATCCAAGCGGCCATCGGTAGAGTGACGTTGTCCGACCAGTGCACCCGATCAAGTAACTCCTTCTCTTCAGCATTATCTTCGAGGTCCTCATTGCTCGTGTTCCCGATCTCCAGCTGATGCTCCTCCTCCTCCTCCTCCCCTTCCTCCTCCTCCTCCTCCCATTCCTCCTCCTCCTGCTCCTCCTCCTCCTCCTCCGCCTCCGCCTCCTCCTTCTCCTCCTCCTCCTCGTCCTCCTCCTCCTCCTCCTCCTCCTCCGACTCCGACTCCGACTCCGACTCCGACTCCGACTCCGACTCCGACTCCGACTCCTCTTTCACATCCTTTTCGACGTCGTCATCGTGCCCAATCCCTCCGCCCCCCCCGAAAGTGGTTCAGTCCTACCCGACGCTTCCTTTTCCCTTCTGCAGATTGCCTCATCCATCCAATCTCCATTCTCACTCATCCCTCATCCCTCCTCCTCCCTCCATCCACCCCTCCCCCTCAGGCCTGACCCACCTCAATTTAGTATCCTCCATCCTCCTCGTTCTCTTCCTCGTGACTCATCAGGGTCCGCCCCCCCAAAGTTCCTCCAAGACTTCGAGAGTTCGGTGACCACGTCGCCCGAGCCTGTCGGGACCAGCTGCCGTGACTGCCCGACGCAACCCGTGCTCATTTGCAGACACCACCAGAGGGACGACGACGACGACGACGACGACGACGACGACGACGACGACGACGACGACGACGACTGCAAGGAGCTAAGGCGAGACGGAGTGGGAGGCAGAAGGATCGAGAAATGAGATACGTTCAAGGAGAAGGGTCGAGGGAGGGGGAGAATAAGGGGGACACAAATCCAGAGGATGAGAGATACAAAAAGGGTAAGGGAATGAGAGAGAGGGAGAGAGATGATCAGCAACAACGACGGTTGCGGCGTCTCAATCACGCTCGAGTCCGACATATCGCACACACACACCACCAACACCATTCAATAAAAAAACGAGACCTCACAGCACAAGCGGAGGTAGAAGCAAATCTCCCACTGCTCACGCCGACATCCCCTCTCGTCTTACAGATTCCGAGAAGACGCAGCGTCAACGCGAAACGCTCACAAGGAACCGCATCGGCAGCACGAGGAGATGAACCAGGACGGACGCATGTTCCCAAGCCGTTTGGGCTCTGTCAAGCCCCAGCCGAAGTTGGCACATCCCGCATGCAGTCACACGCCACCAAGATGTCATGAGATGGGGAGGTAGGTTGCAGGGGGTGTTGGCTGGGTCCAGGGTCGGGAGGAATCGGGGTCGCAGACGGGGGATACTAAGCAGGTGGACGAAGAGGAGGAGGAGGAGGAGGAGGAGGAGGAGGAGAGACTATACTGGGAAGGTGAAGTATATCCAGTAAGGCGCTTTGCTGGAACAATGCAAGAATGCACACGCCACACCCATGCGGATCTGCAGCCTTCAAGGTGCCAGCGCGGGCAGGTTGTCTACGGCAGGGCGAGCTACAACGAAAGTGAAACGCGCTGCACTGCGCAAGAGATCCTACGGATACGTTGGGAAAAGCAACGGGGCACGGCACCCCGCGTGAAGCGGCTCTGAAAAGACGGGCGGGCAATGACAGCGCAGGCCGGAAAACCGCCCTCACAATACCCATCAATAAGGCGCGAAACCTGCCCCGGCAGATCGGTGTAGATATGTTGGCCGAATGTTGCAGGGAAAACACACCAAAAAAAGATACACCAATCGAAAACGAATTGGAAAACATTCGCCAATCCCCCCCCCCAAAAAAAACGCCAGAATCGACAGAGACGTTCGCCTGGAGGAGGGGGAGGGGCAGGACCGCGGGCACCAGTAGATTCACCACCCCCCGAGATACGGCAACGACCAGCTTGAAGGAAACATAGGCTGGAGCCTGCGAAACCGTGACCACAAAGAAGTGCCACAACAGTTCAGAGTGCACAGAGATGCCGTCTCGCCGTCGACGCCCCGACGCAGAAGATTCAGCTTGGAACTCGCAGACGGGAAGGCTTCCAAGATGCGGCGTGCCTTCCGGGAAACCGCCCCCCCCCACCATGCCCTGCCACCCCGTGCGCGCCGCCACGGCTCGCGCGCGGATGGGTAGAGAGCAGGAACGCGCAACGAAACTTGCTCATGCGTGGGATGTCGGAATGTCTAGGGTACCCGGATTGGGGACAATACCCTGAGGTGGTGATCTTCACTCCTCGATGTTGGGATTGCACTTTTTCAAGTCGTTGACGTACTTCAAGTGAAGGTCGAGGGCCCTTTTTTTGCCGAACAGCTAGCAAGCTGTTGACCAGAGACTTGAAGTTCCCACTTTGATGCCCACGTTTGCACGAGCACCATCGCCAGACTTCGCGGCCGCGCTGAATTCCATCTTCGCATCACCGCTGCTCATGTTCCACTGCGTCACCGGAGAGCGGTCCAATTGCGCTTGCACCACGGTGCCTGCGGCCGACTGCCTGAGCCACACGCTTCCTTGAGCCACCAGATGGTTACGGAAGGAGGAGGAAGAGGAGGAGGACGAGGAAGAGGAGGAAGAGGACGAAGAGGAAGAGGAGGAAGAGGACCAGGGGCAGGCGGAGGGAGGAGGGAAATCAGGCGAGGAGGGCCAGGCACTGCGCCCGAAATCCCGGGGGCCCCCCGTTGGACGCACTTGAGGCCTGCTTGCTCCGTGGACCAGTCGAAGCGCTCCATGTTGCCCAGCACCTCCCAGCGGTCGAATCGTGCGCGACGGGACGCTCCACTGGGGGGGGGGGGCTGTCCCCGGCGGACGGAATCCTCACACGAAAACTGGCGCGTGAAGTTTCTGGCCGCCATGGAACGGGCGCGGAGGGAGAGGGATGAGGAGGACGCAGAGAGGAGGACAGAGATGGAGGAGAAAAGAGCGGGACGAGGAGGAGGAGGCCGTCGGAGCAAGGAGCGAGGGAGGGAGGGAGAGCGCAACAGCTTGGACAAATGTGTCTGTCCTGGCCGAGCGGGGCGCTACTGCCGTTCTAGCCAACCTCTCAAAGCAAGATGAGCCGCAGAATGAGCACGGGTGTAAGAAAGCAATTACCCTGGCGACGTACCCAACTCTGCGCAATGCGGGGCACGAGTAGTCTGGGACTCGGTGTACAGAGGTGATGACGTGACACGGGCGCATAACATTAACTATGCGAGCGGCATTCGTGAGGCTCGCAGCCCCCCAGGGATGGCGAGGTCCCGCTCAGATCTGCGTGGTGCCTCACTCCGCTGGACTCGCCAGCAGCCTTCGTAAGTGGCCACAGTTCCGCAGATCGCAGCCCCCCCAAAGGACGGCGAAGTCCCGCTCAGATCTGCACCGTGTCTCACTCCGCTGGACCCACAAGCAGCCCGCGAAAGTGGCGACGGTTTCGCAGGTCGCAGCCCCCCCAAGGACGGCGAGGTCTGGCTCAGATCCGCACGGTGCCTCGCTCCGCTGGACCCACCAGCAGCCCTCGAAAGTGGCGACAGGGACGGCGAGGTCTAGCTCAGATCCGCGCGGTGCCTCACTCCACTGGACCCATCAGCAGCCATCGGCGACAGTTTCGCAGATCGCAGCCACCCCCCAGGGATGGCGAGGTCTCGCTCAGATCCGCGCGGTGCCTCACTCCGCTGGACCCACCAGCAGCCCTCGAAAGTGACGACAGTTTCGCAGATCGCAGCCCCCCCCAAGGACGGCGATGTCTCGCTCAGATCTGCGCAGTGCCTCACTCCACTGGACCCACCAGCAGCCCTCGAAAGTGACGGCGAGGTCTCGCTCAGATCTGCGCGGTGCCTCACACCGCGGGACCCACCAGCAGCCCTCGAAATCTCCCAGGCCACCCCGCGCGCCTTCCAGACCCCCCCGCGGCTGGCCGCACGACCTCTCCGCACACAAGAAGGCCCCACGACGGGCCGAGAGGGCGCCGAGAGGCCGCCGAAGACGGCCCAGGAAGGCCCCGAGACGCCTGGCGATCGCTCCAAGCCGCCCAGATGTGGCCCAAGAGGCCTCCGAGGGGCCCCAGGAGGCCTCCGAGGGGCCTCCCAAGAGGGCAACAGGAAGCAACAGTCTTTTTGATCTTGCCGAAGGCTGTTGGAGGAGTCTGGCGTTCTCGCATGGTCGGGTCCCCGACGCTCCAAGCTGGCCCGGAGGCCCCCAAGCCCACACCGAGGCGGCCCGAGCGGCTTCCGAGAGGGCCCCCAGGCGGCCCCAGGACGCCCCCCGCACGGCCCGCGAGGCCCAGAGCGGCCCGAGGAGGCCCCAGGACGGCCCCAGGAAATGCCCGAGAGCCTCCTCCTCCTCCTCCTCCTCCTCCTCCTCCTCCTCCTCCTCCTCCTCCTCCTTCTCCTCCTCCTCCAACGCCGCGAACCGAAAATCCCAACCATCCGCCCTGGAGCCCCCAGGAGTCCCCGAGCGGCGCCGGGGGGGCCCAGGGCAACCCCAGAAGGCACGCAAAAAGCACTATAAGAGGCCCCCAAAGCCCGAAAGATGCCCCAAGGAGGCGGAGGCCCAAAACGGCCCCCAAGAGGAAGCCTCCAAACTGTCGCCAAGAAGAAGCCCCCGAGAGGCCCCCCACGAGTTCACAGCGAGCATCCACCAGGATCCACGCCGGCAACCCAGGCGCGGTGGCGGGACGGGCCGAAGGCCATTCGCATGATGCCCAGCGCCGAGGCGCCCGCTCTTGACTTGCTGCTCAAAGACGCGGCGCCCGTTGCGAGGCTCGCCGCGTTCGTGGCGAATGCGAGGCCGCCAGCGCTGGGCCCCGCGGCACTGCGCGACGCCGCGGCCCTCAAACCCAGTGCGTTGCTCAGCGTCGCGGCGCTGGCCCCTGACATGCCGCCGAAAGGCGCGGTGCTCGGCGCGCTGGTCGTCTCGCTCCCGGGTGCGAGGCTGCTGATTATGGGCCCCGTCGTTCTGCGCGTCGCGCGGGGTTCGACTCCGACACGCTGCGCGGCGTCGCAGAGCTGGCCCCAGATGCGCTGCTCAAAGACGCAACCCTCGTTGCACTGCTCGTCTCGCTCGCGGATGCGAGGCCGCCGAGGGCGGATCCCGCCGCGCCCCTCAACGCCGCGGCGTTCGACTCCATCGCGCTGCTCGTCCCCGAGGTGCCGGCGCTGGGCGCGGCGCTCAAAAACGCGGCGCCCTACGCATTGCTCGCCTCGCTGGTAGAAACGAAGTTGCCGATGCTGGATCCGGACACGCAGCTCGACTCCGCGGTGCTCGACACCATCGCGCTGCTCAGCGCGCTGGAGCCGTTCGTGCACGCGCCGCGCGAAGACTCGGCGATCGATTCGCCGCTCGCCACAGCAACGGGCGCGAAGCCCCCCGCGCCCGCGCCCGCGGCCGCCCGCGGGCCGGCCGCGACCACGAGAGCACTGGGGGAGAAGGCGCGCGCCCGCCTTGCTCAGGCATTCGAAGTGGCGCACTGGAGCAAGGCTCTGAGAAGCGCGGCCCAATGCGTCGCGCGAAGCCCCGGCGCCCCGGTCGCAGCTGCGCAAGAAGAATAGGGGTCAAAAGATTAGCGGATCCCGACAGCGCCGGCATCGCCCCAGATGGCCGGCGCATCCTTCCCTAACACCCTAACACTTCTTCGGCCAGGAGCTCGCGGAGATCGCGCCGACGGCATTGCCTCGGGGGCGCCAGGAAGATGTTGGCCAACGGAGGGCCGCGGTCCGCGTCGATATCAATGCCGAAAAGCGCCCGCGCGGAGCGCTTCGAAGGCGCCCCCGCTGAGGCGAGCGCGAGCCCCGTCGGTGCCGAAGTCGCCGACTCGACAGCTGACATCGGCGATGCGAGCTCAGGCGCCGCCGGCACGGGCCTCCGCGCGCGCGCAAGCGGGCTTGGTGGCTCAGCGGTAGATCCCTCAGTCGGCGGGGCCGGCGTCTCCGTTTGCCCGGGCGCGCGCAGCGCCACCTCCCGCCCGCGCGGCCTCGTCGGGGGAAGGGGGGGGCACAAGGGGGGGGGGGGTCGCACACTCGGCACGGGCAGGGAGGCAACGTTGCCGTTGGTCAGCAGGATCACCCAGCACTGACTCTGATCCCCCGCGCGGCCGAAGACAGAGCCGCGCAGGACGTCAGCGGGATATATTTCGGGGGCGGCCAAGAGGGGGGCGTCCAAGAGGGGTGGTGCAAATCATGCCCGGCGGCATGTGCGCGGCCCAAGGGGGGGGTGGGCCAGGGACGCAATGAAAGCAGAAGAGGCGCCATGAAATCTGTGGAAATATCATGGCCCCCGCCATGATATCCACCCCCCCTCCTAGTAATTTACCAGCCTCGAACGTATCCCTATCCCTAGGATTGACACGCCAAAAGGCGATGACAAATCTTAGGGATTCGCCCTCAAAAAATAAGGGAATCCTTAAGATTGGCATCGTGATGAGGAGGTGCCCAGCATAGGGATAGGGATATGCTCCAGGCTGGTGAGTAATCACCCCCTCCCTGCCGCCCCCGAAGACTTACCTGGCTGCTGACTGCCACCCTCGGCGCACTCTCCCGGGCGGGCGGAGGCGCGGGTGGAACAGGCGAGGCGCCTGCGACGTCGGGCCGCGCGCCGGCCCAGGCGGGGGCCGCGCGTCTGCCCTGGCGGGCCCGGGCTCGGCCCTCCGTGGCTGCCTCGCACCGAGGGGCGACGAGAGGGGGGGTGACTGGCATGCAGGATTCGGCCTGACCTAAGGAACGACAAACAAGGAACGAAGCCTCTTTTTTCCAAGTGAATCTAGGAAGCCCGAAGGAACACCAGGGGGGCTCGCCGCCAAAAAGGTAGCGGAACGCATGCAAACCAAAGAAACGACCGAGCCCCTTTTGAAAAGTAAGTGTTCCTTATTCAAGCCGGACCCTGTACGGGGGGGCGTGCATCGGCCCGGAAACGGTGATACATCGCCGATAGATCGGCGATAGGCCTCCGATGGTGAATCCGCACCCTCCTGGGCAGGTTGGGGCCATCGGGCCCCCATCAGCGATCAATGGGCGATTGGGGGTCGATGCACCCCCCCCCCCTATGCCCATCCCCCCCAATCGTTGCCCCCGAGGCACGCTGTTCGCCAGGTCCACCTCGGCCCTGGGGCCCCAGTCGTCATCCAGGTCAGCATCCCGCGCGAAAGGTGTCGTGAAGGCCCGTGACGTTGAGGGTGGTGGCGCTGAACCTGGCGCTTGCCGTGCCGTGAGCACCGCCGTGGCCGACTCTCCGCCCATGGCCGGTTGGAGGTCGGCGCTGGCCGCAGCGCTGGAGTCCAGAGCACTCGGCCAGCTGCGGTCACCTGGGAGGACAACGACTAAGTCCCAAAGATGGTCAGCACGTTGGCCCTGGCGGGCCCTTGTTCGACTGGATGCCCGGCGAAGTACAGTCAACCCGCATAGTGAGGATGCGCGGTAAGGATGCAAGGGCCTCGGAGGGCCAAGTCGGCGTTTTTCGAACGAGGCTGGCCAGCGAAAGTCGCTAAGAAGGGGCCGAAGGGGCAAGGTTACCCAGCTATGCGGGTCGACTGCACCCCAGGTCGCGCCCAAAGAAGATGTCGCCTAAGGCGAGACAGAAGCCTTTTATGGCGCTGAGATCGCACAGATCCCTCACTGTCATTCCGTCTGGCTCGCACGCGGCCGACGCCTGCCCAAGTTTGTACCTGCTGAGCTCGTCCTCACTGAAATCCTCGTGAATCCTCATGGACAGATCGCAGTCGACGCGATCGGAAGGACAGCGATCAATGAGGGCACAAGTCGGGCGTTGGCAGAACTGGGTTTAGTGGGACCTGGTTTAGTGCTGTGTGCTGGGGGACGCCCCCCGCCCCCGTTCCACTAACCGAACTGCCGTCACCCGAAAAAACACAAGCTACGGCAGACCTGGCTTAGTGAATTCTGGCAAATGTGGGGGCTCCAGTGCTGCATACGTACTGGCGTGGCGACCGTGGACGTGGTGATGTTGCTACTGGCACGGGGGGCCACAGCGTCGTCCTTGGCGGGCTCAGCGACGTCGCAGCTAGCAGCACCAAGACTGGTGGGGGAGGCTTGGCGGCCATCGCACGCGCCTGGGTGGTTGGAGCCTTTGGGTACGAGGACGGTCACGGCAAGGGGCGTTTCTTGCTCGTGGTGGTGCTGCAAAAGATAGATCCCTGCCGCACGCCTGCGCTAAAAGATGCTACTCGTGTATAAGGTCCCGTAGTCGGCCATGGCGAGCGGATGCGTGATCGGGGCGTCCCCATGTGGTGCATCGAAGCTGACGGGAGGGGCTGTGCCGTAGTCCTGGTGGATAACGGTCGGGGCCAGGAACCCTGGTGGGTCATGGCTGGTGCCCGTAGCATGTGTAAGGGCAGCATGCAGCTCAGTGTAGCTAACCTTGAACTTTCTACACAATCTCATCAGCTCGTTCCTGAGCCGAGTCGGTATACGGTCTCAAGGTCAGTAGGGTGTATCTGAACGAGTTCGTCGTAGGCTGCAGCCGCCCAGTCTGCACCGCCTCACTTTGAAGAGCAACTGCGCAGGCCTCCTGGCGAACAAGAAGCTTATCTGGACAGAAGGTTTGGCGGCCGCTGCTTGATGGTTTGGGCATTCGGGAGCCTTTGCGGCGCGTCCGGGATAACGGGGTGACGCGAATCAGTCACACCCGGGGTGTGTGTCTTCTTGTCTCGCCATGCGCGGGGGCAGCGAATAGCTGCGCTGGGGGGTCGGCGTCATAGCTGCGCTGTGGGCCTGGGACCAAAACTGGAGGGAGGGAAGGAGGGAGGGAGGGAGGGATGGAAGGACGAGGAGGAGGAGGAGGAGGAGGAACAAGGAGGAGGGGGAGGAGGAGGAAGGATGGAGGAGGACGGAGGAACAGGAGGGAAAAAGGATGAGAAGAGAAGTGGAGGGGAGATGAGAAGAAAGAGGGAGTAGATGGAGGAGGGGGGCAGGAGGAGAAGAAGAGGAGGAAAGGAAAAGGACAGGACAGGCAAGAGAGCAGAGTGAGGAGCACGGAGGGAGGAGGGAAGAAAGGAAAGGGGAGGACAGGGGGGGAGGAGGGGTTCCACTCCGCGTTGTTACTCGTCGCTCGAGCCTCGTCGGTGCTCGCCACCTTCGCGCCAGCGAAGCCCTGGGCCAAGGCCACGCGGAAGAGCGTGGCGCAGAGGTCCCCCAAGTCCTCGAGAAGCACACTACAGGAAAGGCCGGTCGCGCTCGCGCGCGGAGGAGGCGCAAATCCTACCCCTCCTCCTCCTCCTCCTCCTCCTCCTCCTCCTCCTCCTCCTCCTCCTGTTCATGGTCTGGTTGCTCCTCAGCCTCCTCCCCTGCTCTTTCTGTGTTTGCTCCTCCATGTTCTGCTGCTGCGCGCAACACTTGGAAGCGAATTCGGGTCGAGACGCGTGATCTGATGATAGAACTGCGGCTGATACGGCTGCACGACGACTCCCGTGATGCGGCCACAGACGATGCGGGACTCTGTGGCCCAAGGCCAACAGGTCGAAGTTGGCAGCGCCGGACTGGGTGATGCGCTCGAGCGCCGCCCTCCACCTGGGGACGAGCCTCGGCGCCGCCCAGGCGTCAGGAATGCAGACCCCAGCATGCATGGCCTCCTCCGCATCCTCCCTCCGTCCCTCCTCCTCTGTCTCAATGATTAATGACTGGTGCTGCACAGTCGGTCCATCGACCGCGGGAAGAAAACCTGCACCAACCCCAGCTCAGTAGTCCTAGTCGTCCTGATCCTGTTTCGTCTTTTACTCCTCCCTGGCTCGCTTACGACTGTTGTTCCTCGGTCCTCCCTGATCCTCCCTGGCTCCTCCTTCCTGAATGGCTCCTGATCCTGCTTCACTGTTCACTCCTCCCTGGCTCCGAGCTCAATACTTCTGATCCTCCCTTGCTCCATCGTTCCTCCATTTCTCCAACATCCTGCTCCTCTGAGGATCATCATCCAGCTTCCATCCCTTCTCCTTCCATTCCCGACCGTTTTCATCACATCCTCCTCTATTTCCGTCTTCATCCTCCCATTTCATGACGTTCCGTTCTCATCCTCCACCACCTTTCAATTCCACTTCGTCCCGTCCTCCTTCTCATCCTCATCCTCCTTCTTTGGGTGATGCTGCCCTCCTCTTCGAAGAAGCGGTGCGAGTCAGCACAGATTGAGGAAAAGACTCGTGGTCACGGTGTGACGCAAATCGCCTGCCTTTGATCATGCTGCTGCTCCTCCTGCTCCTCCTCCTCCCCCTCCCCCTTCTCATCCTCCTCCTCCTCCTCCTCCTCCTCCTCCCGATCGTCCTCCTGATCGTCCTCCTGATCGTCCTCTTCGTCGCAGGCAGGCCATGGGGGCAATCCGCCAGCAGCGTCAGTTCCTCCTCCTCCTCCTCCTCCTCCTTATCACAATAAGCATCTTCGTAATCATCATCATCATCATCATCATCATCATCATCATCATCATCATCATCATCATCATCATCATCATCATCATCATCATTATCATCATCAGCAGCAGCAGCAGCAGCATCAGCATCATCATCATCATCATCATCAGCATCAGCAGCATCGTCATCATCATCAACCTCATCAGCAGAAGCAGAATCATCACCATCATCATCACCAGCCGCATCATCATCAGCATCACCGCCATCATCACCATCATCATCATCATCATCATCATCATCATCATCATCATCGCCGTCATCGTCATCATCAGCAGCAGCATCATCACCATCGTCGCCATCATCAGCAGCATCATCACCATCATCAGCATCATCATCATCAGCATCATCATCATCGTCATCATCGTCATCATCATCATCGCAAACACCATCATGACCATCATCATCTCTCAGCAGCAGCAGCATCATCAACATCATCATCATCATCAGCATCATCATCAGCAGCAGCATCACCATCATCATCATCATCATCAACATCGACACCATCATCAAAATCATCATCTCACCATCATCATCAGCCTCATCATCATCATCAGCAGCATCATCACAATCATCATCACCAGCCGCATCATCATCAGCATCATCATCATCATCAACATCATCATCATCCGCATCCTCATCGTCAGCATCATCATCATCATCAGCAGCAGCATCACCATCCTCATCATGATCATCATCAGCATCATCATCCTCATCATCAGCATCATCATCATCAGCCGCAGCATCGTGATTGTCGTCTTCTTCATCTCCATCTCCATCTTCATCATCATCATCATCATCATCATCATCATCATCATCATGAGCAGCATCATCAGCATCATCGTCATCAGCATCATCACCGTCATCATCATCAGCATCATCATCGCCATCATCATCACCAGCATCATCAGAATCATTATCATCAGCATCATCACCAGCATCATCATCGTCATCATCATCACCCCCATCATCATCATCATCATCAGCAGCATCATCATCATCATCATCACCATCATCATCATCGTCATCATCAGCATCATCATCATCAGCATCATCATCATCGTGATCATCATCACCATCACCATCACCATCATCATCATAATAATCAGCAGCCTCATCATCATCATCCGCATCAGCAACAGCATCATCAACAGTATTATCATCATCGTCGTCAGCATCATCAGCATCAGTCTAGCAATAAGCATCATCATAATACTCATCAACATAATCAGCATCATCAGCATTGCCAGCAGCATCAGCATCATTATCATCGACATCGTCAGCATCATCATCAGCATAATCATCAGCATCATCATCACCACCACCATCATCATCATCACCACCACCACCAGCACCGACACCACCACCATCGTCATCATCATCAGCAGCAGCAGCATCATCACCCTCACCCTCATCCTCATCCTCATCCATATCCTTATCCCCCCGCTCAACCCTTTTTCCTTTGAAATTCGCCGGCCCAACAGGCCAGAGACGTGCCGAGATCTCCGGCGATTGGTTTAGAGTTTTCTAGATCGCGCTCGCGGGGCCGCCCCTGGGGGTTCCAAGCCGAAACGTACCCTGGCAAAGTCCGGCCAGTGATGGTTGTCTCCTGGGCGCCCCCCGCGGAACTCACGATCAAACCACCAAGCCCCAAGAAGGGCCAAGAGGCCCTCAAGAGGCCCCCAAGATGGCCCAAGAGGCGTCCGGGACACCACAAGATCGCTCCAAGACGCCCAAGATGGCCCCCAGACGGCTCAACAGCTCTCCAAGGACTCATCAGGAGGGCCCCAAAAGGCAAAAATCATAGATTTCCCCTGAGTCTTTGAATGGTTTTGGCATCCTCGCCTTTGCGGCTTCCCAACGCTCAATGACGACCTAAGAGGCTTCCAAGATCGCCCCAAAAAGCCCAAGAGGCATCATGGAGGGCCCCAGGACGGCACAAGAGAGCCCAAGATGGCTCAAGAGGCCTGCGAAGACAACCCAAAAAGGCCCCGATGACGGCTGCAAGAGGGAGCCCAGAAGGGGGACCCGAACGGACATGTCGAGCCCTCGGCCAAGAAGTCCCCAGGAGGCCCCAAGAGGCCTTCAAAAGGCCCCCAAGATGGTCGAAGAAACGCCCGGGACACCATACGATCGCTCCAAGACGCGCACGATGGTCTCCAGACGGCTCGAGAGCCTTCCAAGAGCTCTCATCAGAGGGCCCCCAAAGGCAAAAAAACATAGATGTCCCTTGCCTAGTTGAAGGATTTTGGCGTTCTCGTCTTTGCGGCTTCCCGACGCTCAAAGACGACCTAAGAGGCCTCCAAGATCGCCCCAAAAAGCCCAAGAGGCATCATGGAGGGCCCCAAGACAGCACCAGAGAGCCCAAGATGGCTCAAAAGGCCTGCGAAAACAACCCAAAGAGGCCCCGATGACGGCTGCAAGAGGGAGCCCAGAAGGGGGACCCGAACGGACATGTCGAGCCCTCGGCCCCAAGAAGTCCCCAGGAGGCCCCAAGAGGCCTTCAAAAGGCCCCCAAGATGGTCGAAGAAACGCCCGGGACACCATACGATCGCTCCAAGACGCGCACGATGGTCTCCAGACGGCTCGAGAGCCTTCCAAGAGCTCTCATCAGAGGGCCCCCAAAGGCAAAAAAACATAGATGTCCCTTGCCTAGTTGAAGGATTTTGGCGTTCTCGTCTTTGCGGCTTCCCGACGCTCAAAGACGACCTAAGAGGCCTCCAAGATCGCCCCAAAAAGCCCAAGAGGCATCATGGAGGGCCCCAAGACTTTTTTTTTGATCTCCACGGACCCACCGCATAGTGCAGACAACTGGCAGGGCGGGACCTGCCAGCACTGAAAGACCTCGCCTCGGCGAGAGCCGCTTTGGGGAGGGGGCTTCGCGAGTTCCTTTCGGAGCGCCCACTATGGCCCCCTCCCCGCACGGATCGACCCTCGGCTCGGGCTCCCACTGTCTGGCAGACATGCCAGAGACAGTGCACAAAAAGAAATAAACTCGCCAAACAGGAGCCAAGCCTGTCACAGGAGGCGAAAGACAGGCAAGGACAGGCACCAGCTGACCCTCAGCTGGAAAAAAAAAATCGGCAACGCGGAGAGCGTCCTAAGCGGACAGGCGGTCGCCGCTTAGGTCGCGAGCAGCAACCTATGCCACAACAGCCTGAAAGCCAATGAAGCAAAGCACGGCCGAGGATAAGATTGAGAACAGAAACCGAAAGAAAAGGAATGGCTCCGAAGGCCAACGCACGAACAAAAGGTTCAAACCTGCCAAAAGAGAAAGGCAGGCGAGAACGCAGAAATTCAATCCGAATCCCCCGACCCCGCCTCCACAGTCCCGCCCGTTCCCAGATCGTCCGCTTCGCAGCGGAGAGACGCAGCAATGCGATTCAAGCACTCCCTGGTGGCTGAGGCCGAGGCGACCACATCACACGAGGAAGAGCTGGGCGCAACGCTGCAGGCATGAGCACAGGCAGTGGCTGCAATAGCTGGAACTGTGAAGCTGGGACGCTCTTGCCCTCCAGCGCTGGCAGCACTGCCAGACGGGCCAGAGGGCGCAGAGCTAGAAACGGCTTCCTCCGAAAATTGAGGATTCGAAACCAAATACGAGTTGAAGCAACGCACTAGCGAGGTGTCATCAACTGTGACACCTTTGCTGGACTTGGAGTACTGCGGGTGAATTCCCTTGCACAAGGCGGCCCAACCCTGACGGCCCGCACGGGTAGGCTTCTTGCAAACTTCGCCTAGGCCTCTAATC